TATCAAAATGACCTAAATATTCTAACATGTATACATTACATTTACCTCCAAAACAATTTCCAAACAATCATTTTTAGAGTAAGAAAAAAAATTACACAAAATTAAAATTTACCCTTACCCTTTTGCATAAGTTTATTAGGAAGGATCACCATTCAAATACCAAAATATTAATCTTTTAAAAATATTCAAATCAGGGCTGGGGTTATATAGTTCAGTCAGTAGAGTGCTTGCCTCGCATGCACAAAACCCTGGGTTCAATCCCCAGCACCACCAAAAAAAAAAAATCAAATCAGGGCTAGGACTGTAGTTCAGTGACAGAGCACTTGCCTAGTACTAGCAAGGTGCTGGGTTTGATTGCCAGTATCACAATAAAAGAAAAAGATACTCAAATCAGAACTCAATAAGTTCACAAAATACAATACATGTGGAAGTGTTCATGCAGGAATACTAGAATATGATCATATATAAATATATGAATAAATATATATAAATAAATATATATATATAAATGATCAGTGTACTCAAAAGTCATTGAGTATTTTTATACCCAAAATTCTGATAGGCATTAAGAGAAAAGATTACAAAAACGTCTAACAGGTTTCCTGCCTTCAAGCTTGTATAATCTACCTGAGTAAACAGTCCCATATGACCAGTCTTTCCCCAGTTCCTTGTGCATACATAATCAGATGCCAAAAAACAACATGAAAATCAGAAACCAAAATAAATCAAGTCATATGCAAATTGCTTAAAATAAAATTAATTTCTGCTTCTTCCATAAAACAGGTAGATATCTTTCACTATTTTATGGCTTGAAAAATTACAAAGGTTTGTAAGAACTTATTACATAGCTCACACTCACCACGCCACTGCATGACTTTGTTTTCACATCCAGTTTCACCAACCCAAAGCCTTCAAAAAGCAGAAAGCAAAAGATACCAAATGATTCTTTTGTATAAAAGATGCACACCTTATGTTAACAACACTTTTTTTTTTTAATGGATACAATACCTTTATTTTATTTATCTTTATGTGGTGCTAAGGATGGAACACAGGGCCTCACACCTGCTAGGCAAGCTCTCTACCACTGAGCTATAACCCCAGCCCCATGACAACACTTAAAAAAAAAAAGTTTCAGGGGCTGGGGATGTGGCTCAAGCGATAGCTCGCTCGCCTGGCATGCGTGCAGCCCAGGTTCGTTCCTCAGCACCACATACCAACAAAGATGTTGTGTCTGCTGAGAACTAAAAAAAAATAAATATTAAAAATTCTCTCTCTCTCCTCTCTCACTCTCTCTTTAAAAAAAAAAAAGTTTCACATATGGGGCGGGGGAATAAAAATGTATTAATAGGGGCTGGGGTTGTGGCTCAGTGGTAGAGGCACTGGGTTCAATCCTCAGCACTACATAAAAATAAATGTCTATCAACAACTAAAAAAAATTTTTTTTAATGTATCAATATACAATATTTAAACAAAAATTTAAAAATTACTTCTACATAAACTAACTTGGTAAAGGACAGAACATCTATATGTTGCTTTGCCTGATGTACTGCTTTTATGTGGTCTGCCAATCCCAAAAAAGTTTCAAAACCATTTAAACCTAAATTTGAGATTAGAAAATCAGTTAACATATCACAGAATAGTATATCATTACACAGACATTCAGGACATTTATCTTGAAAGAGTATCTCTAATAATCTAAAGAGAAGGGAGTATGTGGGACAAAATCTTCAAGAAAATTCAAATTCACTTGAAAAAAGCTCAGAACCCTTTGAAAAGTATGTTTCAAAACATAACCACAAAAGTGAAAAAGCAACATATCACAACTCTATAGTCATCAAAGGCCTAAGCTGGGGGGCGGGGAATGAAGCACAAGCTACTTCTTTTTCTTTCTTTTTAAAGGCAGTACTAGACATTGAACTCAGATCCCAGAGCATTGATCTACATCCCTAGTCCCTTTTATCTGATTTTGAAATAGGATCTTGCTAAGCTGCCCATACTGCCTCAAAATGCCATCCTTTTGCCTCAGTCTCCAGAGTAGCTGATATTACAGGCATGTGCCTGGCTCTAACATCTATTTCAACAGAAGTTTAATATAAAACATAACTAATATAATAACTAATGCAGTAAGATATTTACTGCTTGAAAGAAATTATTAATTTAACTTCTCTAAGGAAACTAAGCACACGTTTTCACTTTTGATCTGAAATTAAAGAAAAAAATAGTTCTTACCAAATCCTTTGTTGAAGATATCTCTAGCAGCTTTGCCAAGGTCAGCATAGGATGGAGGAATACACATTGCTGGTAAGAAGAAACATTCCAGTGTTAAATGTTTCTGTTCTCTTACCTCTGACCAAAAAGTAGACTATGACCTGATGCTGATCTTTAAATTCAAGCAGTTCAATTTGTTGAAATTGTTTTGTACCAAGAGTGACTACAATAAAACTATGCTCTGATGATCCATAAAGGAAATAGGATTAACAAAACCCTATTTCTAAAATGTATAACCATGTGGTTATACAAACTTGGTAAAGTCCAACAGAAAAATACATCTTTTATTCTTAAATTTACACTGTTTATAGCCTCATGTCATGAAGCCAACGAATCAAGTGTGTGTACACATACACACACACACACACACACACACACACCTGCGAAAATTCACTGGGATGGGCTGATTTACGTAAATTACATAAAATCAAAACTTAACACTAGGCCCTCTTCCCTTTGGTAACCTCCCTAAGGTCAAAACCAACACTTGGAAGTAGAAATAAAAGCAACTTAACACTCTGGGAACTTAACTATTGGGACTTAGAAAAAATACAGCTACTCCAATATCTACATCAACTAAATATCAAATGGCACTCAAAACATATTAACATGACTCTCAAGTCTTCCGCCAATGCAGTGAAGCTTAAGGGCAAGCAATCCGAGCTCTTATACCAGCTCATTCATTCTACAAGGCACGTCCACGCCCTTAGAAGCACATGTAATGACCTTGCGCTCTTACAAGGCAGATAACTATTTCCTCTGGAAAAGTGACTGATCTAATCTAAGATGGAATACAATAATAAATAACTTTTTGCTTTCGAATTTGCCGAAGGCATGTCCAATAACTGAAGTTGAACGCAGCCAGACTAACGCCCCAGGCCCACTATCCGAGATCCAGCAGCCCAGCCCATTCTCCGCAGAGGAAGTGGTCAGACGACCCAGTGGCTACTGAAAGGGACCGGCTATCCAAATTCTTAGAGAGATGAGGGTAGGACAGAGAACAAGATGCGACTTTCTGATCACAAGTTTCGACTCCGGGACACCCCCGCCCCATCCCACAGAGGTCCCTGCTCCACTTACGCCGCACGCAGCTCTGTCCGTAGGTCGCCATGGTGAGGCCGCGGGAAGAGGTGATCTGCGGAAGGGGCAAGAAGTGCGGTCAGCAGGGGTCAGAGGCGGGTCAAAGAGCTCAAAGGGGGTCTCAGAGAGAGGGACGAGGGGCCGCGGGGCAGCGCGGCCATCTTAGGGAGCCAGGGCCGACCCTAAGTCCGGCTCAGGGCCCTGCTTGGCCGTCTAGGCCTCAAGGCTGGCGTGAGGCGGGAGCGGCG